CCAAGTGCTGCAAATGGGGCAGCTCGTTCAAAAGTTCGGCCACCTCTGCAGCCGAGCGCCGCTGTTCCTCCTGTGGTCACAAAGGGGGGAACAAATTAACAAATAAAGCTCCTCCATGCATGTTCCGCCATCGCTACTAGGAGTCCATCGCTCTGTATGTGGAGGCCATCGCTACTAGGAGCCCTTCAGATATTCCTCCTGTGCCTGTTTGCCGTGGTGACATCTTGGGGATTGGGATGATACTGCATCGAGGTGTCTTGTGTGACTTCCCTATCGCTCGGCATGGTTTGGAGCAAATCCTCACAGTCTGGCACGAGAAAGTCTTCCCAATAACTTCCAAGAAGCGCAGGCTCAAACTGCATGCTTTGTAAGCCATCTGGGTTAAGAAATTGGTCAACTCCCAAGTGACGAGACCACAACGGTGTTCCACTAAATCATGAGGGGGTACGGGTTGTTCGAGTCCATAGTCAAGTAATGACAGTAATGACTTACTGAACCCGAGTCACTGCTCTCCGTCCCTCCCTTCTCCTCCATCTGCTCGAACTGAAGCTCTCTGGGCCGCCAGCGTGACTGCCGGTCTACGATCTTTCGGAGACAACGACAGGGGCTTCGAGCCAACGCTTCGAGCAAGGCCAAGACATCAGGAAGTCGAGGCATGTGAAACTGAACCTGAGTCGAAGCACAACATTTTGTCACCTTTCGATTTGGGACCCTATTCGATGATATGTATGCATCCAGAATTTGAACAAAATTATTTTGCATCGATGAAACCTAAAGGCAAAGCAACTCTAACATCACTCTCACAGATTTGCCTCCACTACCACACACACGCCACTGCACAGCCCCTTCCCAGCAGCCAAGTCACACTTAGGAGGCGGTCCAATGCAATTTTCATCAGGCAACCTACAGAGCAGAATGCATTCGCAGCGACTTGAAGTGCTTTCAAAAAAATTACAAAGACAACTCGTGGCACCCTCTGGACTGAAATTTGGACCAGGACATCCTTGCTTGCAAGAAACATCTCCTGCACAGCTAGACGTAAGATGTAATGCTAGTGTGTCCAATCCAATTTATATAGAGGGTTCCTTCAAACGTAATCATCGCAACTGGCTTAAACTGCACACTTTGCATTGTCATGCTTGCTCTATGGCATGCTGGAACACGTGACAATCAGGGGCTGTGTTTCCCATCCTCAAGCGCCACCCACGGCCTCTCAGCGCTCTCTGTTCCAGGGCGCGCTGCCCTTCTAAGGTCAAGGAATTGGGATGGAGACTCAAGTGACCTGGGTCATGCAAAATTCAAAAGTGTGGTGTGATTGAAAGTCGCCTTTGCCCTTTCAGCTTCATCAAATAGCCTAGCAGCTCACATGCAGCAGACCCTGACCGGCACAGAGCAACCCGTTCATCGCCCTGTTGGCGGCAGCAGCAGCAGCCACAGCAGTGGGCCTCTCCCAGAACTCCGGAAGGAGAAGCCTTAGGCACTTCATGGCACTTCATGACATGACTAGTAGCAAGAAGCGACTAGTAGCAAGGGCATCGCCACTAGTTCCAAAGGGCATTACTAGTCGAAAGAAACAATTAGTAGCCTCTTGTTACTAGTAGAAATGCCACGAGCTACTAGTAGCTTCTTGCTTCTAGTGGCGATGCCCTTTGTTACTAGTAGCTTCTTGGCACTTCATGGCACTTAAGTTTCCCAAAAAATCTAGTAACCAAATCATGCTTCCTTCAAGAAGCGTGAGCTATCCTGCGTCCATGTGCAGTAGTGTCCTAGTAGCTAGGAGCGAACTCCCTTACTTGATTAAGTAGGCGCCTGCTTGATTAAGTAAGGAGGCAGGGCCACGGGTTAAAAAAAATTTTCGCCATCTTCACACCTTGGACCTTCCAATGCGGCACTCCGAGACTGAGGACTCTGAGGACCACCTCTTCAACCCTAAATACTTACAGCCCACATGCTACGGACACCAGCTGGAAGCTCACAGCTTCCCAAAAGGCGAAAGCTTCACTCTTGGGCCAAGTAGCCAAATAAACCTCAGACGCTGAGAATCCAGGCGGAAGACCTAGCGAGGCAGCAGCATGATGCTTTTGTAGCCAACCAATCATGAGAATGAAATACATACATACATGCATACATACATACATCCATGCATTGCATTGCATTGCATTGCACTGCACTGCGCTGCACTGCACTGCACTGGACTGCATTATATACATTACATTACATTACATTACATTATATACAATACATTACATTGCATTGCATTGCATTGCATTGCGTTGCGTTGCCTTACATTACATTACATTACCTACATACATTACATGCGTGCGTTACATACATACAAGCATACATACATACATTACATTGCATTGCACTGCCTTGCGTTACATTACAATACATTATATACATTACATTACACTACACCACATTACAATGCATGAATTGCATTGCATTACATCACTTTACATACATACATTACATACATGCGCGCATGCCTTACATACATACATACATACATACATACATACATACACCACATGCACGCATGCCTTACATACATACATACTTACATACATACATACATACTTACATTGCAGTACATTACATTACATTACATTACATTGCATAACATTCCTTTCCATTCCACTGCCTTGCATTGCAGAAAACTACATTACATTACACACATAACATAACATAACATTGCATTGCTTTACATTGCTTTACATTGCATTACATACATACATTACATTACATTACACTACACTACATTACAGTACATTACATTACACTACATTACAGTACATTACATTACATTACATACATAATTTACATGCATGCATGCATGCATGCACGCATACATACATACATACTCACTTACATTACATTACATTACATTACATTCACTTCACTTCAGAGTCTGTCATGTTCGTTTGACACTCGCTTGTTCAGCTTCCGGGCAGCTTGGATCAGCAGCGCTTTTTTCCACGCTCGAAGTGGCATGGAGCAAGGTTACATCACAAAGAGACTGGTGAAGGATCAGACATCAAACTGGCCCGGTAGGGGTTCCATTCGCGAGAGCTCATTCACGAGCCCAATTAAGATGAAACACATAGACCCAGGCCCTCACTGTGACAGCCTAGTCGACCGACAAAGCAGAAGGCCAAATGGCCTCCACTGTGGACCACCCAGCGCGACCGCCTGTAACACGGCTCACCACGAGCATGGAGGGTGGTGCCTGCACAAACTTGGCTGAGACATCTAGGCGATCGCCTGCACTGAGGAACCTCATCTCGAGCCGGTCAGCATCGGCTCCGAAGGCGTCAGGCGAGCTGGTTGCCACGAACCTCAACTCCATGTGGCACAAAGGATAGTCGAGCGCCACAACAACGCCCCCTTCAAGAGCACACGTAGATCCTGCCTCCAGTCTCCCATGAGCAGGCCACCACGCGCGTTCTCGTTGGAGTGGTTGGGCAACCCTTGAGCGGCCTGCAGTACTGGGGCTGTGTTTGCTGAGCACTGAGCTGCTTGCTGAGCAGAAGGTCCCGCGCGGAGGAGGGGGAGGAGGTGAGAGCCCAGGTGCCTCCTCCATGTTTGATTGAGCTCTCTCCTGCACGGTCGGCAATTGTGGGCGGTCTGCCCCAGGTTCCTCCTCGAGCCTGGTCCATGAAGAGGTTGATCAAGCATCATCCCAACGACTGCTCGCGTTGTAGATCTGCTGCCTCGAGGCTGCCGGAGCCTTAGGCTTCACGATGGGTGTGCCTGATGAGGCTGGACCAGTGCCCTGAGAAGCCATTGCCCAGGCCCTAGCCCTAGACTAACTGAAATGCTTTTGCCTGGCGAGGCTTCTCGAGAGGAATCTTGCCAAAATGGCATGTGGATAAATGATCAGGATACTGATAAGTAAAAAGAAGAAAGCTGAACAGCAGACTCAAAAGTGACCCTCATGACCAGGCCAACCTGACCGACCCATGAGAGCACATTGCATTACATTACATTACATTACCTTACGTTACGTTACATTACACTACACTACACTACATTACACTACATTACATTACATACAGACATACATACATACATACATATATATTATAACTTCAGTGTCAAGTCAGACAAGCAGGTTCAGGGAAGCTAGGGCGCTCTGACATTCTCTACAAAGTCTGGCATGACATGCTAATCTCAGGTCATTGAACCACAGCTACATCGGATTTTGAGGCCCATCCCGTGCTACTGATACGGGACCCTTTGAAAGCCCCTGGCATCTGCATCGGCTGTCCGTCTTCCGTTCAGCCTCCTTGGGTCGCAGGGCCAAGAGGGCAGCCTGCGCAGCTCGCAGCGCTTCCTGGAGCGCTTCCTCACCTTCACGCTGCGCCTCATGGAGCAAGTCGTGGAGCTCCGCCAGTGGAGCCATGGCCACATGGCGATGTGACAAACAACGTGGATGGCTGATATCTGTGTGTCGATGTGTTGTTTGGGAGGGTAGGAAGTGCGGGCAGGGAAATTAACCCTGTTATGGTGGGTTTCTGTGTTGATTTGTGGAAGGTCTACATTTTGAGCCAAACCAAATCCAAGGTGTTGGAGGGGAAGCACGTGCGTTGCGTGGACTCGGGAAGTCAAGGTGTCAAGGTGAAAAGCAAGTTGTCATTTGCAAACACCTTTTGCAATGTGTCAAGTGTTGTCCATGCGTCAAGTGGTGGTTGCACGTCCCAGACAGGCTTGATGGCGGCTTTGGTTTAAGTCTGCCTCAGGATCTCCGCTTTGGTGCCTGAACAAGGGCATCACTACTAGTAGCTTCTTGCTACTAGTAGTGTTACTAGTAGTAATGCCCTTTGATCAAAATTTAGACCATTGCATCACACCCCGGTGCATGGTGCGGTTGCTGCGCGGTTGCTGCTACCAACAGCTTCATGCCGAGAAGACGGTCTTGGTGTGATTGTCTAAATCCGTCTGAATCTGAGATCCCTTCAAACAAGCTTGAGAAAAAAGAAGCATCCGATCTCCGCCACCTTGGGGCCTTTTGGGGCGAGAACTGTGGCGATGCTGGCGATGGCACCGCCACCATCAAGGGGCGGCTCTCTGGGCCTCCAGATCCACGTGTGCGTTGCGATTATTTTCCAATTCAATCTGCTTGGTGTTCAATGTGAATTACCCCCTTCTCAACCGCTCCTAAAAGACCAAGCTCTTGGCTACAAATTGAATCAGCATCACAACAATGCAACTGTTCTGGGAAGTCTCCTTTCTTGCTAGGCCAGGGTAGGCTGTGGGAGGTAGGCGAAGAACAAGTAAGCTGTTCAAGGTAGTCTCCTTTCGTGCCCTACTAGTAACTAGTAGCTTAAGTAGCTACTAGGCTGACACAGTGAAGGGTTCGGGTTCTTCAAAGTCGGGTCCGGAACTTCCTTGAACCCTTTGCCTGATTCATGCGCTTCCTACGGAAACTTCCAAGATTCTTACAGAAACTTAACCTTTTCTATCTACTGTTGATACTGTACACCTTCAGCACAAACACACATAGCCACAATACAAACACCGACAGCCTGACCAAAAGATCCTTCTCCAGCAATTTAACAACAGAAACACGTCTATTTTCACACAGGGATGTCCATGCCCGTCTCATTGATTATTTTTCAAGAATGCTGGAAGTGCTATCAGTCTGATTTGCAGTATCAGCATCGATCACGCCCCTTTAACCCAAAACTTCAAACATGTCAATTTTGCTTCATGAATTCATGAAGTTTTGCACAAAGGTATCCTCACTTCATTCGTCTGAACAATTTTCCCTAATCTACTGGCTGAGTTTCCAAAAATATACAAAAACAGATATATATATATATATATTGCAACCAAAAAAATGCCACACCTGCCGCCTTTCGCTGCAGCTGCCGCTGCTTCTTGCCTTCGACAACTTCAAATGAACTCTCTTTCATGGGAATGCTCCCCGTTTTCAAACCTTGTTCAATTGGCACCATCCATCATTCAAAAGTACAAGAATAGGAGGAACTCACAAAACTGCACAGTCATCAGCTCATGTCACTACTGTAAATGCAACATGACGTCTCGCTCCTCAAGCTGTGCAAAAATAGGTTCATTTGCAAGAACACGTACTTTGTCGGCACCCATGATTTCCAGAAAGACTTGAGCTCCTTCCACGCTAGAGTTGGAAGTACTCTTACAAAAGGTTAGCTCTGATGCGCGGCCCGAATCCGCAAATAACCTCCCGACTTGAGCTTTATCAAGATCAACACTTCTTCGAAGGCAAGTAGGGTACTTGGCTCCCCGGCAATAAAAATACAGGCAGAAAGCCCCGCATCCCAAGATAGCAATGGCTGCGAACCTTGCCGCATTGGGGTTGAGGCAAAGATTCAGGCCATCATGATACAACCCGTCGACCCTGGCCTAGGGCAGCGCCTGGCATCCCCAAGGTTGCAACTTTGGGTCGTTTGTGGACTCAGCTGATTCTGTTTTCATGGCCTTCGCAAATGCTGGCCGACTAGTATTTCGGGCATGTTCGGCAACAGGGCCAAAGGCTTGAGACAGTTCCGAAGCTGCCGTCTGGCCTTGTGAACGTTGAATTGAACGCATTTTGTGCACAGAATGAGATCGGAGGCTGTGTTGGAGGGTTTCGCTTGGGCCCTCCCATCCCTGATGGGCGTGTATTTCAGGGACATTTGGCAACAGGGCCCTCAGAATACTCACTGCGGCCTGGCTTCAACCTCTTATTCAGTGGTGTGCCAAGAATGGGCATTTTGCGCACAGAATTAGATGGGCTAAGCCTGTGGCAGAGATTTTTGCTGGGAGGTTTCCAAGCTGTCGTGTGGCATACCATTCTGCCGTGTGGTTGAACAACTGGCACAGGGCCGCAAACACCTTCTTCATGAAATTGTTTGTTTTTGACCACCTGGCTAAAACCTACTACTATATAAGTAGCTTGGGTTCCTGTAGCCTCTACAACTCTTTGCTTTGGGCACTTTCTTTTCGTTCACGTCTTCTCTTCATTGTTTGGCCCTCTCTGCTGCACTTAGGCTCACTCGTCCCACTTACGAGCCGGACAGTCACATTCGCATTTTCAGCTGTTGAGGCCATAGTGCAACAGAAGTGCATGCCCCCTACATTGTGTCCTCTTCTCTTTAGTTATGTTCTCTATCATTCGGTTCTGTTTTGCTTTGTTTTTTTCTCTTCTGTTCTTTGCTGTTTTCTGTCATGTTCGCTTCTGTTCTCTTGTCTTCAAACCTTTTGGGAAACCAATTTGTTTAACTTTGCAACTCAACGTGCTTGATTAACAACAAGAATGCATCCAAATCTGTTGTGGCATGCCTCAGTCGATGCCGTTCCATTTGACAAATGCCAGACCTCTTTGCTTCTTCACAATGTCCTTCTCCACTCTCAGAGCAGTTTCCACTCTCACAGCTTCCTAGATTCCTTTGCTCCTCCCATGTCAAACGCTGGCAATCGCTGATGGCTTGCAGGCACCCTTTGTGGCTCCACACCAAATTTTGGTCGGCGGCACCAGGGCATTAGCCCATTCTATATGTCATGACACGAGCCCAGAATGAAGCGGTATGTTCACTTGCCAAAAGATTCACATAGTGAGATCTTTAGTGTCTTAAGCATAATCTTGCCTCCCTGCGCATTCTACCTGCTAAGACCCTAGTGCACACAACTCGGGCTCTTTCGACTCACTTTTGCTTTGCCAAGACACACGCCTACTAGGATAGCAAGCCAGTCTGTTGGTGGTGGTGGGTTGCAGGTGGAATACATGCCCCTCACATCTGCAGTGCCTGAGTCAGGTGAAAAGTCCATGACAAGTCTTTGACGGAAAGCGACAAGGAAAAGGCAACGGAAAGGGCATGGGCCAGTATGTGTGTGGCAACAAAGGGATAGAAAGAAAAGGAAAGTGCAACGTTAAGTGTGACAATGGGAGAAGGATTGGGGAAGGGAACTGAAAGAGAAACAGAAATAGGAATCAAGAAGAAATCAAACTCAGGGAGGTAGAAATAAGGAAGACAAACGGGTAGAACGATCGAAGGTTGGTATTGTGTTGATTGCTGTAAGCGCAATCAACGGCTTTCGAAGAAGAACATCCAGGCTTGAAGTGGCTTGAACAAAGAACCTGGCTAAAGACAGGCCTTGCCACTTCACGTGCCAGCTTTAATGGTTCTCTGGTGACAAAAGCGCTAAAAGAAGACATCTTCTCTGTGCGGTTGTCCTGTTCTTTCGAAAATATGTGCTTGCCGAGGCACAGTGATAGAGGTGCACAAGCTGCTCGAAGTCCAGCTGGCTAAGGGTCTTGGATGACGCAGTGACATGCAAACCTTCTGCACACCTTGATTCATGTCTTGCTTGACATCTCATTGCGAGCAGGAGAAGCCAGCACGGAAACCTTGCTACTGCCTGCTGGTGACAATGCTGCCTTTCTTCGGCAGGCAACCTCACCGTTTTGTCTATATACTTACAAAGCTCGTGGAAACCTGCAGCTCGCAAAAAGAACTGGAAACGACACCCGGCGGCAAGTTGCCACCATAGAATAAACCGACGTTTCCAGGCTCAGCTGTTTGGGCATATATACAAGCACATTATTCAACCAAAGACACATCACGCTGCCCGATGGTGTAGGCTCCCAGGGCATTCAGCTGTTGTTGACCTCCGAATATGCAAGGTGAGAAGGACATCCAACATGAAAGAAAGTCTCCAGCTCAAGCTGAGCTTCTATGGTTGGTTCTGCCCGCCTTGACACACACCCGCATCGGGCCCTTGTCTGGTGCAAAGATCCGCGGTCTATCTATCTATCTATCTATTTATCTATCTATCTATCTATTACCAAAATAATGCATCTAAGCATGCAATGTGTCTAACATTCTGTCATTCCATGTTTTCCTGAAAAATAGTTGACTTCAAGCAGCAACCACAAAGAGTTGCAAAGGAACTACGTATATTTGAGAATGCAAGCTGTGAAGTGTACTTATTCTGGCATCAGTAGCATTTTACAGGCACTGTGTCCACCCACAGCACAGCTATAGAGGCTTAGCAAAAGTCAAGCTTCAATAGAATAGGTCGACCTGCCTCTGGCTGTGAGGGCCAGTGTAGGTAAGCCGTTCTTGGTGAAGGCCGTTGGACCTCTGCACCAAGCAAGATTTTTGAAAAAGCTGGCACCAGGCACCAGGAGGAATGGAAGTACTGGCAAATTCTCTAATTTGGACCAATACTCAGATGTATTGGGTAGCCAACCACAAGGGCTTCTACTCAGATTAAACATACCAGGTGTGATTCACATCCCTTGTGAGTCCTCCAATAACTGACTTCTCTGATGCATTGTGGTTCTAGCCTGTGACAGAGCTTTATCGATGGCCTCCAAGCTACTAGCGACGGCCTCCAACCAAAGAGCGATGGCCTCCAACCTAATAGGAATGGCCTCCAGCACCCCCCAAACCGTACAAAAACATACCTCTTGGCCTAGACCCGCTGCTGCAAAGAAACCATAGTGCATGATGGAGGTGAGGTCATAGGGCCGTGAAGCGTCTGCATTCCCCATCCTGAATGGGCAATGAACTAACATAACCAACTCACAGCCTACACCCGAAAGTTCACTTCCTTGCAAGATGCAGAATACACCCGGGTGAAACACCTTGGTTGTTTGTAAAGACTTCTCCTGAGCATCAGCATAAGCTGTATAATTTGCCTTCCATTCAGTCATCCGAACGGAATGAACTATGAAACTTGTTAAGGCATTGTAGCACCAAGCTTTGCGATTTTACTTTCTATGAAAGGGCCTGAACATCCGTGATAATGATGGGGGCTCATTCAAAGTTTATTCTGAATCTAATTACATTGTACTTTCTTCCTGAGAGAAAACCTCAAGTAGTACTTTAGCAGTTGGCCTCTGGATTTCAGCTACGCCTGTGATGGCGCTGCAAAATTTTCTGTGGCGCATTCGGCTTGCATTTCGAAAGAGTACGCTTCATACTGCTGGGTGTTCCACTTCTTCTCCTTCTTTTTTGACTGCTCAAGCTGTTCTAGGAGATGAGCAAGAGCTGCAGCTGTCTCACAGGAATGAGCTATCTTGGTTGTTCCATTTCACACATGGGTATGGCTCTCACGGCATGCAATGAAATGAAGTGCAAAACGAGACAAGTCTTAGACGTTCGTTCAGCTTCTTGTTCCTAGTAGTAAGAATGCTACTAGTAGCGATGCCAGGAGCCCCTAGTAGCGTCCTTGCTCCTAGTAGTAAGGCCAGGAGCCCTTAGTAGCTTCTTGTTCCTATCAGATTTGATCAACTCATGTCATGTGAAACTTCCCTTCTCTGCTTTCTCCAAAGAGCACGCCAAACTGGCCCTCCATGCCGGGTTTGATATTCCTTGGATTCATTGCAAAAACTCAAGAAAACGCAGTCAGGAAGTCCCAAAGATTCCAAACTATATAATTGTAGGCCTGGGCTCTGCCAAAGAACAGTGATGTACTTGTCTCGATCGGGTCGTGCTTGTTCGTGTGCCATGCCTAAAGCATGTAGCCTGGGGCGCAGCGAAACCGAAACAACGCAGCTCGACAGCACGCTGGCAACCAAGCAACAACTCGTGAAGCACCACGCCCACAGAACAAATTGGCGGGACATTCATGACCTGGCACCAAAACGAAGGCAAGGTTGCAATTGGAAAATATAGGCCTCTTCAGTCAGCCCCACGTACAAATCAACTGCATATTGTTTTTCGTGCATCATGTGTAAGTTCGTCAGTAAAAGCTACACAATTCCAAAGCTCCCACTGCTCATTGTTTGCGCGCGGGAAAATTGGGCCGATTGACCATGACAACAAGCGCGGGTTCTCAGTGCCCAAGACACTTCCAACGCATGTTGGGAACCGCGTGTGGCCTGTCCCTGACCGAACACCATTGACTTAGAGGACTTGTTCCCCAGTTTGGTGGGTGCTCACTGCTTTCCACCACACTTGCGATTGCTAGCATTGTACACAAGCAGAATCCATCTATGACACACCTCTTGTCATCTTGTTTCAAGTTTCAAGCCCGCCCATCGAAATCATGAACCCTGGATCTAAACACGGGCCTTTGCTACTACGATGCAGTAAGGACCTGTTGGTGCTGGCTCATTTGGTCTGTGTGCCTGGCTGCCACCAAAGACCTGAAACTGCATTCCGATATCCGCAAAGCAGCCCTGGCACTTCGCTGCAAAACTCCATGTAGACCACAAAGATGTTCTTCAGAATGTCTTCTGATTGCCACAACAAAATATCTGGTATGTATGCAGTATGCATAGTCAAAGAAAAGCAAAGACAATAGCAGTTCAATTACGCCTGCTCCCGGTCGGTCACAAAGATTGCTGGTGACTCCTGGTTAGAGGCAACTGTTGAGTGCACTTAAAAGGTACTGCGCTTGTTTGGCCAAAGCCAACCAAGTCTAGGTCACATACATGAGGACATACCCAATCCTGAGTGGCCCTCTGTGTTCATGTTCACACATACATGGTTCAACCCATACACACGTGTTTAACCATTGCTCTGCAAACATCACATCATGAGAGTCTTAGATGAGATGCACCAACAGTGTTCACCAAGACCAGGGCCGCTGCAAAGAGTCAAAGTCAGAATCAAATCATCTGCAACATGCTTGGATGCTTCAGTCTACCACAGCATACCGACCCTCGTTGCTACAATGCCCTCCTCACAACCACCATCGTTGCCACGCAGTGGTTTGAAAGTGATGCCAGGGACCAAGCGCCGGATGATGTTAACCGCTGCTTGGGTGTTCTGCACAGAGACATGGGAGCTGGAATGCGGAGGGGACCGGGGGACCTTGGACCTTTAGACCTGTCATGTTGCCCTTGTACCTGGTAGTTGTTTGTTCCTAGTAGTAAGGCCAGGAGCTACTAGTAGCGTCCTTGCTACTAGTAACGATGCCCTTTGACTTTGATGTTCTCATTGGGAAAGAAACTTTACGACAAATACAAATGAATCTACATGAATACCGTGCTCAAACATGAATACCGTGCTCAAACAAAGAAAAGTACGGGTCAGGCCTGAATACTTGCATGAGAGATGCCTGCAAGCGCAATACAAAGACTGGTCTAACTGGGACAAAGACTTGAATATATTTCAATGAGCGAGAAGTGGCCAAACCAACGTGGTTGGACTTGGTAGTAGGCTCTCTTTCTCAAAAGTCCTTGACACTCCATTAATGTACCGCCGAAATGGCAAAGCTCTCGCTGCCAAGCCGCTGGGGAGGAAGCAGTAGGGAACCACGGCATCTCTCCAAGGAGCACCTGACGATATCTGGTGATAAAGTTCCGACTGGTGCTGGTTGTGGTGCTGGGCGGAAAAAATGATTAGCAAATTCTGATAATATCAACTTTACAAACACCCGACTCTACGACCTCTGCCACTCCAGTTGGCCCAACTAAAAGGAGAAGCTTGAGTAAGCTAGCAATGACCTGCCACGGTATGAGATCACTAGGCTCGTGTGGACTCCAGGGCTCTCACCAGCACCATAGGAGACACCCGGCTTTGCCGGCTCCAAGCCCCCTAGCTCCTGGCAATCAACAGACTCCAAAGGCAGCGGACTAACTATATATTATTGCGAGAGCTCTTTTGAACCGAGTAAGGGCCTTCAGTTATGCACATGATTTGTGCGTGTCATCCTTGCATGAAGCTGGAATGCTTTTCCTTCGCACTCCTCCTTGGCTTCCTGAGCATTTTGCTCATGGAACCACTGAAACTGCATCGCTGGGCCGTCCAGGAACTGCTGATGGATTTCCATCTTCCTGTATACAGCCATGCGCCCAGCTGCATCTCCAGCTTGATCTGCGGCCTGCCATTGGCGATGCAGTTGTTCCATATGTTCTTTTGCTCGGAGTCCTGATCTTCCTTCCGCCTTGTCAAGATCTCCGAAGTCTTCCATTTTCATTCTGTTGATCTCTTCGATTCTTTCTTCATGTTTTCTCTTTCGCTCTGCCTGGTGCTCAGCATGTCGCTCAGCTCTTTCTTCCTCATCCTCGGGATCACTCTCAGGTTCTCGAGGCTGTAGATACTCCATTGGAATCCAGACCACTTCTCCGGAGTCCAGTTGCACCATTGCCAACTCACCTGCAATGAGCTCCTCTTCAGGCATGTCGTCTGGAAAGGCGCTTGCCAAGTCAACTCTCTTTCTTCATACTCTTCAATGCACTTGTTGATCAGGTACTCCCTTGCATGGATCTTCAACTTCTGCAAGTTGTAGTTCCTATTGGACTTTTGCACATAGTCCCAATGTTTCCATTCATCTTCCTCCATCTCTGTCTCGTCCACATATCCATCATTCTTCACCAATCCTCGATGGATCTTGTGAGCATAGCCGGCCACTGTTTTCAACGCTTCTTTGCTTGCATCCTGGTTCCTTCTCAACTCCTTGAGCTCATACTCCACGGCTCCAACCATCATCCCATCTGTCTTACAATCTTCTGCCAACTCCTTCAAATCTTCCCTCACTTCTCTCAAGCTCTTCCAGAGCATCCGGACTGCGTAGGCTAGGAGCATCACCATCACTACCAGCATGCCACTTGCCCAACTGGTAATAGAGCTCGTCTGTCTCCTGTCCTCAACCATGCAAATGTCATTTGAACTCACATAGTCCCCAGCCACGTGCTCAAGGCCCTCTAGGGGTAAAATCCTGTTGAGCAACTTCGCCAGTCTGGTGATCTTTCCTCGACTTACCATTCCTTCCGTGATTCTATTGTGTTCCTCTTGTCCCAGCCTCTGGTGTTCATCGCTGTGAACATTGCACCAGTATAGGATCAGCTGAATCCGTGCTTTGCTCAAGGGCTTGGTTCCCAGGTCTGAGATGTTGTAGGTGGTTCCAACCGACTTCACCTTCAATGCACATTGGGCAACCAGGTCTTGGATCCATAGAAGCTTACCTGCGATGCGTCGTAAGCGTCCAGGTCCTTTCCGGTGGCGTAGGTGCAAAGCTGCTGAGTTGTCCACCAAGCAATGACGTTCCACTTCTTCTCCCACCATGAATTCGAGGCGCCTGTTGAGATAGATGCCATCAGCTGCTGCTCCGACAAGGGCATTGAGCTCTGCTTCAGCTGAGCTTAGGCTCACTGACTTCTGCCCTCGTGAACTTGAGAAGATCACTGCGCCATTCACCATGTGTATTGCTGCACTTGTAGACCTCCTGTGACTCTTTGACCCAGACCAATCGCTGTCGGAGAAGGTTTCGAGCAACCATGGTGAGGTAGCACTGCGTGTCACCAATCCATGGCCTGCCCCATTCACCTCCATGACAGTATACTGGCCTGTGGTGGACTTCAAATATCCAATCAACTTTGACAACTTCTTGAGGCTACCAATGGTCGGGCATGCCATGTTTGAAGCTAGGTCTTTGACCGCAAAGCTAATGTCCATCCTCTCCTGGCTCAGGTAGATCCCACACCCAACCAGTGATCGGTATAGTGCAGCAAGTTCTATCCCCAAGGGTGTTGCGCCATCGGGTTCAAGCATTTCCTGTCCACATGGGAGCTGTTGGCTCTTCACCTTTCCCATCATTGCCTCGTAGCTCTCCACCATGTCCTCTGAATACTTCCCTGGGTGAACTCGAAGACATACTCCATCTCCTGCTTCTGCCAACTCGTAGGTTCTCCTCAGGAATTGAATCTGATCACCTGTCTTCTCGATTGAGATTTCAAATCGCGACTGGATCGCAGGCATGAACACCTCCTTCACATAATTCTCCTTGCCCACGAACATGATATCGTCAACATGAATCAGCAGCATCATGTCCTCATGATACTTCCCTATTCTCTTTGGCGAACTCAAAACTTTTCTGCTCCAACCATGAAGTGCTGCACTCATACCAAGCTTTAGCACCAATGCGCTGTCCTAGAAGGTTCTTCAGCACCTCAAAGTGTCCAGTGGGGGTTCTCAACTGCGTTGGTACAGCTTGGTCTGGAGAAAGGCATCCTTCACGTCAAGGCTTCCCAGCCAGAACTTCTCTCCTCCCATTGTCTCCTCCTGCTTCTTCATGAGATAGATGAAAGGAAGAAGCCGTAGTGTCTGTCCACCGGTTGCGGGTGAACGCACTTCATCATCCCGTTCTATGGCACACTCTCTAGCTACCAGTCTCGACCTCCTGAGCCATTGCTTCTTGGTTTGCCCTGGTCTTGGCTTTGCTCTCCAATCATGGACAAACCTCGTAGGCAGCGTCTTGTGCCCAGGTAGAAGTCCTTTTGTGGCTCGGAGTACTCTCCTGCAGCCTCTTCTCCTCTACTGAGTCTGCTAGGTCATCAATCCACTTGGGTGGATCAGGTGGGACTCGGTCAAGTGGTGCATCAAGCCACAATTCCTCTGGAAGGTTTCCTCCTCCTCCTCTTCTTCTGGTTCGAGGCTCCATTCAATCTTGTCCTCATCTCAGATGGTGTCATTATGGTAGAACACGTTTTCACCCACCTGTGTTGCAGCTATCCTTCGTTCAACTTGCTCTTCATTGCCTTGTCTCGCCCTTTTGGTTCTCTATTCCATGCACCGTCTTCTCAACCGTGGGCTTGAACTTCTTTGCATCTGGTTCTGGGCTTCCTTCACTTTGTAGATTCTTCTGAGCTGTAGGTCTTGGTGTGGATGGCATACTCAAGCTCGAAGGTCCAGCCTGGTTGTTTGCCTCATCAATCACAGGGGCCTGTGCTCGTATCGGAATCACCTCATCCAATGCAGGATCTCGATCACTGAAGCTTACCTTCTTGTCTTCTCTGACTTTCTTCTCTTCTTCATCTAAAGTGTCGCCTCGATTGCGACTCTCCTCTTCATCCTTCTTCTCTTCAATCTTGCCTGCATAGGACTTCGCAAAGGCGATGACCTCATAGGCTTCCTTGTCCTTTTCTGCCAAGGCTTCTAGGTCGACTTCAAGAGATGGCCGAATGACAGAATAGGTTGAGACACCACATCACTAAAGGTGACTCGCTCTCTAAGCACCACCCTCCTTTCATCCGTTGACTGAAGCTCGATGTCCACATCTCTGTGCGCATAGGTGCCCTGAGCATCCTCAAAAAGAGAGAGGCATCGGCTCCTGAATCCACTATGATGGACGCTTTCACCACCTTTTCTCCCTCACCATAGAAACACTCCTCTGGGGGAATCTCATGAACTGCCTTCACTTTCAGGATGTTCTCATTGTCCTCCTCATCGTCGGTGGCAATGCTGTAGAACGCCACGGCTGCTTTGCTTTCTCCTTCATTCCCCATCTGCAGCACTCGAATTGCTCCACTGTCCCCTTCCGCCTGTCTCAGATCGAAGATCAGTGGTTGCGAAACTCGTCGAACAGCCTTCAAGGTTGTCTCACTTGGCTGAACTGACGCCGTTGTGCTTGGTGAAACCGTAGGCGGACTTGAAGGGACATTGGATGCTGGGGCTTCCACCTGCCGCGCTCTCCAGCAATCTTTGGCAAGATGTCCAGAACGGTCGCATGTCCAACAGACTTCACTTGTGCCCTTGCCTTTTCCCTTTTCTTTTCCGCTCTTCCCTTTACCTTCTGCTTCGGGCCCACTTTGAAACTTCCCTCCTTTTCCTTTTGACTTGCCCTTCTCCTCTTTGCCTTTACCTTTTGACCCTTTCACATCTTTTGTCTTCCCTTTGCCTTTGTCCTTTCCCTTCTGCAAGCGGTCCACCTCCATAGGGGCCAGTCCACCAGCATCTTGCGAAGTAGTTTGCATTGGGCTCGAACTTGAGAAGCTAAGTGCTGCTGATTCATTCCACTTGGTGTTCGCTGCGTCGTAGGCCAGCACTGCCTCCCGAATCTTGCTGTATGAACTACCTTCATTCAAGGTCATGTTGAGATGAACCTTGAGAGGCCCGGAAATGGCCTTGAGGAGAACTGCAGCACGCATGTCAGGTGGAAGTTTCCCTCCAAGGCGTTCATATTGGGTGAAATGCTCTTCAAGCTTCAGCAGTTGGGGCAATATGGACAACTTCATGTTGAAGCTTAGGTATGCCATGATTCCTTGGAGCAAGTTCATCGTTCGGTTGCGGGCTGTGGCTGGCAATTCAGTAGCATCTGTCGTTGGGCTTCAAATCCATTGTAGCCGGACACGTTCTTGACCAAGCCCACTAGCCTGCCCTGTACCAAGCTCCCCAACAAACTGTATAGGAATCTGGCTCGTTCCTGCTCCTTCTCTCCCACTCAACTTCATCTCCGCTTTTCTCCTCAATCTTAGCCAACTCATCTTGAAAGGAGCTGTCCACTACCACCAAATACTGCTTGAGGCTCCAAAACCAATCTCGGCATTGGAGGATCTCCTGCTCACGGTCCACGGGGTGGAAGGTACCAGGACGGGGAATCAACCTAGCCAAGTCCTTCTTCTCGCTCGTAGATGGGGCTGCTCCTCCTCCAGGGGTGTTTGAAGCGGCTTGCACAGCCTGTGTAGCAGCGGTTGCCGTGGCTATCAGTGGCTGGGTCAACTCTTCCATACCCGGCACAACTTCTGATCCATCCATCTCTTCCTAGTCCAACCGTGCACTTCCTTGGGCTGAATGATGAAGGTCCGTTATGTCAACCTCCGGCACCTTCAAATTCACCTTGGAAAGGGCAATCTGGTAATCGTGGATGATCTCCGCTCAGCTTGTTCAAGTAATCTCAAGCTTTGATTGCGAGCAACTGCAAACACCAGTTTATGGTGGCACGACGCTCGCGAGGGACGGGGGCCCGCACTTGGGGATTGGTTTCGGTCCCCTCAAGAGTTTTCTGGAGCTCCGGGCAGATCAAAGAAATGCCCTTCCTTGCTCCGCTACCATGCGAGAGCTCTTTTGAACCGTGTAAGGGCCTTCAGTTATGCACATGATTTGTGCGTGTCATCCTTGCATGAAGCTGGAATGCTTTTCCTTCGCAATTATACAGTCCATCTATATGTCTCCTGATATTGTGACTCCAATCGAGTTTGGACCGAATACCTCCAAAATTGAAATGCTCACAACCGCAACACCAACAACGTGCAAGAGATCGGAGCCCAAATGACCCTTTGGCGAACAGGGGCACCGTATAAATCGTTTGAACTATTTTGGCATCCAATGTTTTTGCTGTTCATGTGGTAAAAAGGCAACAAGCTGAGAAACGAGGCAGCTCTATGTTTGGGGCAAACTCTGCACCGAGGAAAGCTACCTTGCCATGCAGGATATCTTCCCAGCCTTGTTGTTGATGACTTTCAGGTCCTCTTCCACCACCACAATGTCTTCCTCCGTACAAATAGAAAAATCAGGCAATAGAATTCACCGGAAGCGTAGGCGTATCAAGTTTCAAGGAAAGAAGCCTAGACAGTGAAGGACCTGCAAGTCACGCTCCTTCTCAGCCTCTTCCAAGGTCAAAACCGCGCTGACTTCGTTGACCACAGGATACCTAATCAATTCACAGCTCTGCGCAAACAAATTGTCTCATGACGCTTTTGACTATGAGCACAAAGAAAGAAGGTGCTACGGTTTCAAACACTCTTTGTACATGTCCTTTCATAAAACTCGGGGATGCATGATATGATATGCCAAATATGCTGGGGCCTCACTTGCATCTTAGTATTCCTTGAACCCAGTCTTGCCCTTCCTTTCTCTAAAGCATCAAAAAAAATGTCATCTCCTCAATGTCAAAATACACAATGTCACGATCAGGAAGAATTCCAGCTGAGGTGGATCGAATGACCTTCACACTTCACACACATCCGACCCCAACCTCCACAAAACAGAAAAGACCAGGTGAAGAGTTCGGTTGTTTTTGCTGAGCACGGTGAACATGTGGCATTTCAGATCAGCACGACTCATGACATTGCGCAAGGTGACTCCACTTCAGTCCGCATGACACTAATATTTTGTTTCCAGACTGCCCGTGTCAAAAACAGTAGAAAGAGAACTGTTCCCAACCTTGTCAGCATCTTCGATGACCTTTGGATCATTCGTCTTTGTCTTGATGACCTCGCCAAGAAACTCAGTGAACCATACTTACTGACAGCGCACGAGGACTCGGGGTTGGCTGGCTACTATTGATTGTCTTAGAAACATGATTCATCAAGTACAGGACGCCTTCTCCACCTATTCTGCTGGTCATCACTAGTCCATGTTCCAAGCCACCTGGGCCAGTTTGCCCAATTTCGCAACAACCTTCTTTTCGTCCTCCTCGCTTCCTGTCGTCACACTCATCTTTGTGTCAACTGGGTCGCAGATCTTTGGCCCAGAGGTAGCATTGCCATGAGCTTTCAAAGTGGCTTGGTCTCCAAAGAGCCAACAGCTCTTGGAATCCTCAGTGCAAAACCTAGCTTTGAACAAGATCATGATAGATGGGTTGGGCAACCGTGGGTGTCGAGCTGAACATCAATGAGAAAAACCTTTGGGGTTCCAGAGGAAGTTGGCGGCTGCTATGGGTGGGTTTCCCAAAATGGACTGGATGGAGGGAAGGTGACAACTGAATCAGGACTGCCACTCTCTGACTGCCAGTTTTCCCAACATTAAACCTATATAACAGAGGCCTAAAGGTGACCCAATGCTACAATAAACGTTTCTGGTCACCATGAGTTTAGAGCTTTAAAATAGACTGCGCCAAGCAGCATTGTACCAGGTGAAATAGTCGCAGAAAGGACTCGCTGCACAGTTACTCTGACAAGTGGATGCATCGCTCACCCACGCGCCGTTTGGCAGAGTTCCAACTCTCGAACTTTGGTATGCCATACCTTGCACCAGGCAGCTTTCAGCTGAAGCTGTATCCACCAGTGCCATCAGCCCAAGCCACCACACCATTGCGCCAAATAAACGGGTGTCACAATGTGTTTTGATTTTGTTCCCCAGTGTTGGTTGCAGCTCCATCTACTCACAAAATTGCAGCATCTACAGCTTCTGTAAAAAAAATGTCCAAGCCATCCGCGTTATGATTGGCATGACACCAAACCCGCCTCAAACCATGAGCCAAACAGGTGACAAACTGGATTGGTTCATTAGCAAGTTCACCCGCAAAAATGATTTCAAATTCAAGTGTGTTCACTTAATCGCAAGCTCCGGTCGGGCATGAAGTGTTGTCCATTGAGACCCGACTGCAAAGTGTTGCTTGGATCTGGGTGTCTTTTTGTTGGATGTAACCTGGTACCCTGTCCATCCTGTTAACAGTCCAAAAAATGTCCATTGGATGAAAAAAGGGCATCTTGTCAGGAGCCTTAAAGTTAAGTGACAAGTGGATCTGGCATGCAACGCAGTGCACTCGAAACAAGATGTCCAGCATGGTCAGACATATATGTACTTCTTGTAAACACACAAGCCAATGAAGTGTGACTTTAAACAAGGTGCAGTGTGTCGTGCTACTACGCCATCCTATGAAGATGAACGGATGACATCGGGGCACAGTTTGTATATCCCCTTTTATGGCTACCTGCCCGCCCTTTTTGAGCACTTTGCCTGCAACCCTGGTCGAACAGGGTCTGTCGGTTGAGAACCTTACCGACACGGTCGGAGAAGAACTGCAGAATGCGTTCGGAGCGTGGCGCGAGAATCAGAGCGCTCACAACAAAGAGCACTCGCTTGTCGTCGGGACTCTCACGTGGCCACGCGGCCACCAGCTCCTTGTACGCATCCGCTAACGGGTCCCCCACAGCCTTGGGCTGTTGCAGCGAGTTTTGGGAGGTGGATGACACTATAACTTGTATTTTTCAGCAGCTCGCATGCCTACAGATTACAAAATACGATTATACGATAATCAAAAAATGTCACCTCCTTTTTGTGGGATGCACCGGTTCATAAAATGCCTGCACAACCACAACAGATTGAAATTTATGGCAAAACACAGAGTCGCACTCTTTTCCACCTTTAAGCCACTTAGATCCACGGTTGTGAGTCATGACACCTCTGTGCGTGTCATCCTTGCGCAGGGAGGGGCCTTGCTGCATTGACACCCCGCCTCAAAAATCGTTGCCAACGGCCCATTTTGTACAAAAGCTGGTCTTTCTGCCACTTACAGCAATGGACTGCCCTTTCGTTCGGCGCGTTAGAGCCGATTTGTCACCAGTGGTTTTCCAGAGTCATGCATTATGAGCATAAGAGGACAGAAACGCACATAAAATACAAGCAGTTCCCGGGCAAGCCGGCGGCGGAAGTTTCCAAAAGAATAAACCTACAGGAAATGGGCATGTGGCAGACTGATTCGCCGAGCTGCGACAAAACAAGTTGGAACCGACCGGTGGAGCAAAGCAGCCACCGTCAACTGTCTTGCAGGAAAAAACGTTATTCATGCATTTTTGCAAAATACAGAATGGAACTCAGCCGCGCACTGAAGTTGTACTACAAAGTCGCCAGTTCTCAGCTTCCAGCTCCACGGCTTGGTCCGCGCAAAGTCGCCAGTTCTCATCTTCCAGCTCCCCAGATACTCCGCGTACTCAAGTTGTACCACAAAGTCGCCATCTCAGCTTCGCGTACTGAAGTTACAAAGTCGCCAGTTCTCATGTTCCAGCTCTCCTGTACTCCGCGCACTGAAGTTGTGCTCTCCAGATGCTCCGCGCACTTCAGATGTACTACGAAGTCGCCAGTTATCTACCTCCCCAGATACCCGTTCTCACTTCCAGCTCCCCAGATACTCCGTGCCAAAGTTGTCCAACAAAGTCGCCAGTTTTCATTCTTCCAGCCTAGGCTCCGCGACCTGAAGTTGCACGACAAAGTCGCCAGTTCGGGCAGATTTCGTGGGAGGTGCATCACTTTGTGAACCTCCATGTGCAGATTTCGTGGCAGGCAGCTTGTGAACCTCCTTGCTTCTCCGAACCTGGCCGGGGAAGCTCTGCGGAACGACAGTTGCCACTGTGCGTTTGTCGACCAGGCGCAGTTGGCCCTATATGCTGATCTGAACTTTTGGCAACATGGGCTCCTCTCGTTCTGCTCTATCTGTTGCGCGCGCAACATCAACAAGCTGGTAGCTGACCAGCAAGCAGCAGAGGCAGGAGCTCCACCGAACGCACAGAAGACGGACCCTGCTCAGGAAATTGAGGCACACTCGCTAATGCAGACTGTCATCATGTCCTTTGCCCGTGGTCTAACCCACGGCAAACAGGAACTTCCTCTCGATGACATGTATGTCTACTTCCCGGTGCAGATTGTACAGAGCTTGGTTGAGTCGATCAACCAGCTCCGATATCAGCAATCCTCATGGCATACAATGCAGAGGACCCATGAGCGATAAGTGACCATGGTGGAGACGTTGACATGTTAGGGCACGACTTGGATATCATGGACGTTTCGGAAGATGAGCATGTCCGCACTGCTCCCTACCTGCACTCCAGCCCAGGGTGGAGTACACAGCGGAAGGCACATGCCTTCTTGTATGGATGTCCACATACTGAGCACCAGGCCAAGGCCCAAGCATATCAGGCCCTTCGTACACCAACCGCAGCACAGTCTTTCCTTGGTCTTTTTTTGCACGAGTCGAGGCGCTATGTGTGCAGGTTGTGCACAAGTCACCTTTGTCGAGTGAAGAGGGAGTTACTATACAGGTTGCAATCAAGCGAAGCAAACAAAACACACAAAAAACACCACAAACCACAGCCAAACCCCCAAAAGCGGAAGCAACCTGTTGCGCAACTCGTGTGGCCATGGAGGCCGTGTGAGAAGAGGTGAGACAGGGGCAATGAATTCCACAAAACTCTCCGTATGTCTTGTCCCTCAACAACCTTGTTCCTGCTTTGTTACTGCGTGCGTCGTTCAAGGCAAAGCCGAGAATTTTGTCCTAGTGACGGGAAGCTCTCTGAGGCCTCCTTTAGTAGGCAAAGGCGCTGACAAGTTGATAAGTTGACAAGCCATGTCATTGCAATGCACTTGAAAGGCATCAGTGCGTCATGTAAGCGATGACCGACAGCGGGTCCCCTTAGATCAGAATGAAACAGACTGGATGTCGGCTGGGTGCTTTGCTGCACACAATGACCAGGGGCCCAAGGTTTGGCATGATGTGGCAATTTGGGGAAGACCACTGCACTTGCGATCGGAATCTCCAAAATGCCGAAAGGTAAGGAGCAGTGTGGTTGCCACCATGCAATGATAAACACCATGAGCCGCTAGACAGCAGCGCCCCGTTCCTCCCCTCAAGGGGGGAGGAGGCAAAAGAGAGAGCGTCACCCTGGCCTTTTGCATGCAGGCAGCAATAACTCAACCAACTCTCTATGGCTCTTCTTCATCTTTGCTGCCTGCTGCTTTGTGCATGCGACTACAAGTCTCAAGGGCGTCTTTGGACCCAGTGGCCTGTGTTGTATGTATGATTGGTTCCTGCCACCTCCAACCACAAGGCTTCCTTGGTCAATTTCTTCATCCTTGTCAAGCTTGCAGCTCTTACCTCCCTCCTCACCTTTTGTGGCCTCCTTGACCTCCTCAACCAACACAGGTTTACCAGCTGGTTTCTTCTTGCACCCTGATGGCTTCTTCTTCACAGGTACTCCAGCTATCTGTCTCCAGTCTTTCTTCTTTACTGGGGGTGGTGAAGAGTTCAAGCTGGCTGGGATGCTCATGTGATCATCATGGGGCTTTGTCTTGTCATTCTCCTCCTCACTGGAGCTGGACTCTGCATCTGCAAGCATGGCTGGAAAGCCCTTTGAGTCCATGGTGACATCAGACAGGTTGTTCTGCAAGGTTCTTTTGTTCTCCTCCTGCACCCCTCCAGTCTTCTTGTACAACCTGGTCAGCACTGAAACCTGGCTTTCATCTAGTCGATCACATAATCTCTGCCAGCTCTCCTTTGAGCTTGTGGCTCGCCTCCAATGCTTCAGAATCACACCTATGCAATCAGCACAGGCTCCAGCAAGCAGTGACCTTTCTCTGTCCCAATGCTGTGCAAGCAGCTCTGTACCAAATCGGTTCATCATAGTGCCCAGGGACATTTTCAAGTATTTGTACTTGATCTGTGCTGTGGGAGATACTTCAATCAAGCATGAAAGCAGCTCACTCAAAAGAAAAAGTGACTTGCTGCTTTCAGCTTGCTGAGCTTGTAAGTTCTGGTAGTCATAGAGGTTGAAACTTTCCTTGATCCCTACCTTTCTGATGTATGCATCAAGCTTGGAGTCGAGCTTCCCCTGATCAGTCTCTGGGAAGCTTTGTCGCTTAGGTGGATTTGGGTTGCCACCTTTGGCCCTTTTCATTGCTGCCTTCATCAAAACCATGCTGGGAAGCCCTTCTGCAGGACCTCAGTCAATCTAACTGCCAAAGCCCTTCTGCAGGACCTTTCAACAGCACAAAACTACAGCCCTTAAGCAGGACCTTGGAAGCCTGCAGAGCTTGACCCTTAGCAGCTGCAGAGTCACCACAACCCATCACAAAAAATAGCAGGCCAGCAAAAAATGAGACTGTTGCCTTTTTTCGACCCAGCCTTGCCAATCCACCCTCCTCAATTGGAAGGCTTGTGGAGCCTTTCCTCAAGACCCCATCATTTCTCATCCCCTCAATGCCTGTGGAGCCCTTTCGCAGGACCCCAGGGCCCTTCTTCAAGACCCATCTACCTCCAAGTCCAAGTTTGGAACATGCAGCCCTGCTCTACATAACTGCTTCTCCATGCTTTGCCAAATACATAGCAATGGACAGCATGTTCTCTGCCCCACAGTTTTCCCAGGCGGCTTGCCCAAATCCAACCAGGGCACCCTCTCATGTTGCAGGAGAGGAAGGAAGACCAGTTATATGTTGATGGCCTGGGCAGCGTATCCAGTGGGTCCAGTTCCACAGTTTCCATCAGAGCCCTTCCTCAAGACCCTATATAGCCTTTCCTCAAGACCACCCTTCTGCCTGGTGTGCTTAAAAGCAGCTTGAAGGGGTCACAGCAAGTGCAACA